CATCAGCTTCAGAACTCAGATGACACCATTCTTTGTAATGACTAAAGCCCCGTTTACACTACGCTCAATTTTTGGTACGGCACGGATAAAATTGGTACCCGTACCACTTTTTTGGTTCTTTGACTACCTATTTAGCTAAGCCCCGTTTACACTACGCCTAATTTTTGGTACTGTACCACTTTTTGGTTCTTGGACTACCTAAATAGGTAGTCCAAGAACCAAGAAAGTGCAGGTACGCGTACGGGTACCAATTTTATCCATGCCGTACCAAAAATTGAGCGTAGTGTAAATAGGGCTTAAGATTGTACACAGTCAGAACTGCAAAAGTATATAATAAGAAAGAAATTGTGCGCATTATCAAGAAATATAGTGTACCCTGAAATGTGGTGACATAGCCAGGTGAATATATGAATGAAGGCCATGCAGTAGGATATTATAAATTTTTATATTGTGCCAACAATGAACATATGTCAAAGGTATATTTTTAGTCTGACCATCACACCTTGTAACTGCATGCTGGTATTAAAGTTAATATATGCAGACAACAATCCACACTGGGTTGATACAATGACAGGAATATATTTATTGCATACAGCATACAGCTGATACAGGTACAACATTCCACGTTACATCTATAGAGTTTGTGATGAATATGCTACATTTAAATATATAAAATCTCTCAACCGTGTAGTTAAACATTCATGGCCATAGCTATAGGTGCATTTTAATATTTAATATGTATGACTATGTATAGGCTAGTATAGCATGGTAAAAGTCAATAAACAGGATCACACTCACAGACATTTCTCAGCACTATATTATCTCATATATTAGTATATGTATAAATGTTTTGGGCGAACAAAATCGAACAAACTGACATACCTCTAAAAGATCTCCCTTTCTCACAACACTTGAATATGATAAGGCCAGTATTTACACAAAAAATGTCTTTGCTTCGCTCCTGGCCTCGTGTTTATATATGCCACAAACTCACAAAGCTGCAAATCGAAATATTTTTAAACGCCATTCTTGGAACATCCTCGTTCCCAGGGCTTCGCGACTGCCTGCGTCAACGCAGGCAGCCGAGAAGCCCTGGGAACGAGGATGGATTAATACGGTATTTTCAACTGTTTTGTTCTGTTATCTCGCAATAGAGGAATAAATCAAGTCAAATATGGTATTTTAAGCAAAAGCACATGTTCAAGAATGTTGAGGACCTCTTTTACATTAAAATGAACTCAATCGTAAAGAAACGTGTCTATATTTTTGACGACGTTTCTGCGACAGTCATTTTAGGCACGGCACGCTTAAATTTTGGCACGCGGACCCATTTTTTTGGGCACGGCACTCTTAATTTTTGTCGTGTAAACGCAAAATGAAGGGTCCGCGGGCCCAAAATTTTAAGCGGGCCGAGACCTCCTCATAGTCTCGGCCCGCTTAAAAATGGGTCCGCGGCCCCATTTATGCATATTTTTATTTTTTCACGCATGCGTTTTGTTTCTCGCACTGCAAAATGGCGTGTAAAGAAGGGAAAAATCGAGGAAAATTTAAAAATTAAACGAGACTTACCTGTAAGTTGAAGTTTGATTGTAATTCTATGAGTTATCAGTGAGGAACTAGGGAGTCACATGAGATATGCATGCGCAGATCGAGTATTCAGCCTTTGAAGCAGTAGTGATTGCACCCAACAAGGGTGGGCTTGCCATCTCTAGTTTGGCCACATAGTGTGTTGGGTGGGTGACTCCCTAGTTCCTCACTGATAACTCATAGAATTACAATCAAACTTCAACTTACAGGTAAGTCTCGTTTAATTTTTAAATTCTATTTCGTCATCAGTTACGTCACTAGGGAGTCACATGAGACTTCAAAGCCGTGCAATCACTGCAAATTCTGGAGCAAAGATTTATTGTATAACAGTACAAAACCAATGTGTACGTAGTAACAACTAGAAATTTGTGTGGTATATGCCACAGTTTAAACATTAACATAAACATAAACAAAGTTTAATAAAGTTTCACCAAAATTTAATAAAGTTTCACTTTGCCTTTTGGTGAGTCACAAGCTGTTTTGTGTTTTCCCTGATTCCCTTTGTGCGTTGTATATATTCCAACAGGTAATGTGAGACACATAATTGTTTGTCCAGAGGAAAAGCCTTTTAAAACAGTTTTAGTGGTTTGGAACCAGGTTTGGTGGTTTTCAGTAGTTTGTTCATGTGAAAAACACACTCATCATCACCAAGTTTCCTACCGTCAATACTTAATGATTGCAGAGTCTGGCATCGCTGCCCAGACAAAAGTGCCATTAGCATAACAAGCTTTAGAGTTAAGTCTTTCAGTAACAGTTCTTTGGCAATTTTAGACTGTTCATGTTCCATATATTTTGTTGGGTTGGTTGGGGAGGAATAATAGTTCCTTGCTTTTTGGTAAGACAATTGGCTGTTGGACAATCATGTTCATTGCTTTCGGCCACCATATCTGTGTTGGCCAATATGGAATCACTAGGATCCCTGAGGCTTGATGTTCTTGGACTTTCTGTAGCACTTGCATTATCACACTAAATGGTGGGAAAGCATAGAGAGCAAATTGAGTCCATGTCATGTGAAAGGCATTAATGGCAATTGCTTCAGGGTTTGGTCTAAATGCTATGATGGTTGATTCTGGAAACAAATAGATCAATGTCAGGGGTAAACCTGAGCATGTTACATGCCAAGGTAAGTATGTCTTTGTTAACTAAGACACCATTCAGTCCCCCAATTGAAAGA